TGAATAGCGTTTCATCTCTTAATTAAAGACATTCTCATAGAATTCGGTTCCTAACTAAAAGAATGAAAAAAACAGTGTAAATTATATTCTAACATGGGTATTCTTCCTGATATTTTATATGATGCTTGTAGACCTTATTCATACGAAAACATTTAAGCTCAATTTTCATATGATTGCTTTTTTATACCGACTTTGTTGCTCCGATCTTTAACACTTGAACAACTTGACTATTGCAGTGACGTTTTAATACCCCTATATAGACGTTACTTTGAGTCATTCACCATTTACATGTTTTAAGTAACCAATGCCATACACTCACATGTAAACTTTCGCTTATTATTTTAGTCATCAATAAAAAATGTCAAATTCGTTAATATCATAATTGATCAAGCAGGTAATTTGTCTGAATTTATATCTAGGTATATATATTTAATTACTGCTTATATCATCCCGAACGCTTGTCAACTAAATTATTCTTCCATTGAAAGTAATTGATGGTTTCGAACAAACCTACAATATCACATCCTAGATGTCTTATCTCATCTAAAGCCCTTGTCTTTCACGTTATAAATACTGAGTGGTACTGGTAACTGATCTCGATGTCTACATGATCGTATTGATACCAGTTGCTATACAGTCCATACCGAGAATTTGTTGCTTACAATTATATTTTGTCGTGTTATTGTTTTCTGTTTGACAAAACGGTACTCCTGAAGCATGCGCACCAAGATGTCGCATAACCTGAACCCTATCCTGGTACACAACCTGAGTTCAGGCTGTGCGCCATCTTGGTGCGGATACTTCAGGAGGTCCGACAAAACAAATAAGCTCTCTACTTAAAATATGAGAAATCTGTTACTATTTCGAGCTGATTTTGATTTTTTTAAATTTGGCATACGACTCGATCACTCTGCATAGAGAGATTTTGTTAGGTTTAGTCTCTCTATGCAGAGTGATCCCAGTCGTACGTCGAATTTAAATTAAATCACAATCACTTTGCACGATGAAATAAAACATGTTTTTTCATGTTATTTCTATGCATAATTAAGTCACATAAAATATTAGAAATAGAAAAAAAATTGTTTGACACTATTTGAGGACATGGAAATTTTCTTAAAACATATTTAACTAACTGTAAAATATTCTATTACTCGTTTTTCATATCTTGTTTCGAAGCTCCCGACGAACACAAACGTATTTCAGGCAACATTGTACTACAAGATAATAAATATGCAGATGTATTTCATACCGTTGGCCTCCTAACTGTGCCTCCATTTTTGACTTTTTGAATTTCATTGAATTTTACATCTAGGGCGCGAAGTTCCGAGAGAAGATTGTTCCTTTGAGCGTTGACTGTTTTCACAATACGGCGTGCTCTTTTCCGAAATTTTGGTCCGTGATCGGTTCCTCATTCATGCAATAAAACACCGGATGCATGCACCATTTCATGAATCATACCTTCCAATACCTTTTCAAGGTTTGTCATCATCGATTTCATAAATAACTTCTTTTTAATTCTATATTTCCTGGCGTCACTACCGATATACCCCTCACATCTTTATTGAGGTTGATAGTAATTAACAGAGGCTCAATTGCTACAATAAACATATAAATACTCGGCGAATTCCATTTTCAAATTTTAGTGATCCTTGATTCATCCAGCTCGCTGTCACTGATTGCGTACCGGCACCCTACTGCCAGATTTACGGTAATCTGACACGCTCAGTCATATTTTGTCATCTACATTCTGAGTTCTGACACGCCCCGACCGTATTTTGTCACCCCTAATCTGGCACCACCACCGACCGTATTTCGTCACCCCTAACCTGACACAGCGCAACGACCGTATTTCGTCACCCTCAATCTGACACGTAACGACCGTATTTCGTCACCCCAATCTGACACGCACCGACCGTATTTCGCCACCCCTAACTTGACTCGACGACCAACATATTTTGTCACTCCCATTTTGACACACAACGACCGCATTTCGTCACCCCTATACTTGCTTCAAATGTATTAGATGTCCAATATCGCTGTAATATATATATATCTAAAAAGTAAAAAGAGAATTGTGGTATATTAAGTTCAAATACAAAACCACTTTTAACTATGATACATATCTATTTTTCATAAAATTACCGGAATATACGTTATGTTTGGTATATATGTCCAGTTCAAAACGTGATGCTACTATTCTGACATGCGGAAATCGAAACTTTAAGATTTTCCTTGCAGCGACCGTATTTCGTCACCGCTAACATGACACCACGCAACAACCGTATTTCGTCACCCCCAATCTGACACGCACCGACCTTATTTCGCCACCCTTAATCTGACACGCACCGACCGTGTTTCGTCACCCCTAACTTGACTCGACGACCCTATTTCGCCCCCCCCCCCCCTAATTTGACACGCAACGACTGGATTTCGTCAGCCCTATTTTGACACCCCCAATATGACTTTTATGCTACCCCTCTAGACTCAATCAACTGACTGCAAGTGAAACGTACCGTCGTGCAAGTGAAACGTACGTCACTCAACTTGACTCAAGACTTCAACCCAGATGAAACAGGAACATCATTTGAAACCATAAACGTATATATACTATATATATATATTTATAAGCAAAAGTACTGAACAAATTTTTTTTCAAAGTGTAGCAAGTTTATTATGTTTGATTTTTTTTAAACATTGTACATATATTAATATAGACTCTGAATGTGATGAATGAATGAAAGTAGATTTGAATGTGAGCTTTTAGAATCCCTGGACCGTACCGGCGGAACCCTAAAATGTCACAGAACCATGTTGAAAACCACTTCTCTTTTTAAGAAAATTTCAAGCCATATGCTCTGACAACTTAGGTATTTGTCTGTCTGTATGTTAGATGCACGCGATATCTCACGAAAACGAGATTGAATCTGCTCCAGAATTTTTATGTACATTCATCATATCTCTCAATAGAAGCCTATTGATTTTGGGCGAATTATGTCGTATAATTAGCGAGTTATTACATGTACCTACAATGTGGCTAAGTCTAATACCTGCTATTGATAGACTGTTATTGTGTTGGCCAGCGCTAAAATCATATTTTATATCGCAAGGGGAAGACAATGTAGCTGACATTACATGAACAGGGTTTTCTTGTGAAGAAAGCCTTAACATTCTGCCACATTGTATTTTGAATTTTGTACAAAATGTACTGAATATTTTTGAAGAAGCCATTAAACGGCTCGAATCAAATTCTACAGCTGCCACAGAACTGCATGAAATAATAATGATGAGTTTTGAGTAAAAGTTACAGCAGCGATATGCAGACAAGTTTTATGGAAGCAATGCTACAAAACTTATTAATTTTTGTCGAAGTCAATTTTTCTGATAGGCAGAAATTCACGCAAGCATTTGAGCATTTTTTTCAACGTAGTTTGTCATACGTACATAGATGGTAGGATTATGAGCATTCGTTTTTCAAGGACATAGCCCCACTTGCTCTTGAAAATGAGATCGGATGGACAGGCTTGTTTTCACTCGTTGAACGCTTGGGCATAAGTCTCGACTTCGATAAATTGTATGAAGAACTGTGTGCACTGAGAAAGGTTCGCAGTGAACTTTTACAATCGACTTGTGACGTTTCAAACAGATGGGTGAAGTTCTTTGCCACTCAGCAGCCAGAAGATACACAACTGTTACGTCTTTGTCATTTGTCCTGTCAATTCCAGTATCACACGCGATTTGTGAAAGAGTGTTCAGTATTATGAATGCGCTTTGAACCAATAGTAGAAACAAACTAAACTTTAATCTTGTGAAAGCTGAACTGATGATGAAATTAAATTTTCATATGTCATGCAATGAGTTTTACGAGCTTATCAGCAATGACTAAGATCTTCTTAAAGCGGCAAAATCCCAAGAAAAATACAGATTTAAATACCAGAAAGAATGTTATTTTGCGTTTTTTTATTGTGAAATAATTGAATCTACTCAGTACAACTCAGTACAAATAACGCTTCACGATCATCCCTCGCGCACTGTTGCTTTTGATGTAATTCGTGTTCACAAGCTTCTGTCGCATCAACTTTCAAACACTAAGGTTATACATTAAGGTGTCCCGGAATGACTTAACACAAAGTTGGCAACCTTGTGGTCGACCATGTTAAAGGCTTTAAGTTGGTCTACCGTCATGGCAAATGTTGAGAGGTTCTTCTCACGAGAATGACGTATCACAGTGTATAGGTTGTTGTGAAAGTTTTGGATAGATCTTCCAGTCTGGGTCGATTCGTGGGTCTTTGTGATAACACCATCCAGCACTTTTTTAAGGCAGGTTGATATAATTTTTGCCATGATCTTGTAGTCAACGTTTAAGCTTTTCGAACCTGTATCTAAAAAATAGTTTTGAATCTGGTTTACATTTCATATTTGACTATGGGTCAACATCGTTGTAAATAGGCTAAACAACGGAAAAGTTACTTTGTTTTATTTTTTTACACAAATTCTGATTACTTTTATGAGACATATTCTGATTAGTTTCTTATCAATTTTTCGAAACAAGCGTACAGACGACCTGAAAGTAACAACCAATGCTGAACAACAAGTAAAATTTTGTCCTTAGATACAAGCAAAAACAGTATTACGAAATATATATCAACCAGATTAAGTCGACATGGGCGGTTACTTTTATCTATCTAGAAAATTTCAGCAGACTAGCAATTCAGGTGGAAATAGCAGCATGGTTCTAAAATTGAAAAGGTGCAATTTGTTCTGTATAAATGTTTAAATATATATATAAATATATGTCATTCTTTTATCTTATCTTGTAAAGTCAATCAACTTGTTGGAACATCCTGAAATCTTGAATTTCGATCTAATTCCAAACGCTGAGAGCGTTTACAGCTCTGATATTGGTTGGAACATCTGGATTAGGACTTGGATCTTATTTGTTGCACCAAATGAAATAAGAATTATGACACAAGAGTCATATTCATTTAAACACAAAATAATATTATTTACGATCATATATTTGCTCATGTTTTGACTTTTATTCTTTTCAAATATAAGATTTTAACTAAAATCTAACCTTCGATAACTGCATTCTTGTTCAATTTTCCTGTGCGATTATAAACATAATTTCCTAAAGTGGGATAATAAAAATATGATTAAAAATTTTTTTTTGTTAATCTGCCTGACATTATTATTACAGCTTTGGCATGTGTAAAATATAATTAAAAAATTAAATAAAGATAATTGAGATGAGCAAACATTCTGGGAAAAGATTATTGTAGTTTCCATTGGGTTGAAGATATTTGGGTACTTCCACTTTGTCCTCCTTTTTTTTCTAAAATATGAATATGGCAATACTTTCTGTCATGCCTGCTTAATTTTTAGGAATTTTTCAAAAGTCGCCATGATTTAAAAATTTCCACATTCTGCCAAAGTTGTTATTTTAGTTGCAACCATAAATTAACAATTTCAACCCTGTTTCAACATTTTTTATCAAAGATCCAATCAAGAAATTTTTTTAATATTTTTACTGACGTAGTTCTCATGAACAACTGCTATAATATTTTTTTTGATAATTCGTGAAGTCGATAAAACTTGTGCATAATGGAGTGAAATATAAATATATACCCGTTCACAAAGTATTTTGCGGTAAACTTGAATCCAGTTTTTGTTACTTCATGTTTAGAGCGGTTTTGCAATCCAAGTTACTCGTGATAGGATCTCCAGCGTCGAATGCAAGGTACCAATTTCTTGATGTCTGAATGGAAAACAGAGCAATGCTCAAATATATGGACACGACGGAATTGAGGCTGGTACAGAAAGAGCTTAGCTAAGCAGCAAGTTTGCTGGAAAGATGAGTGGACAATCCGATAAGATTCAGAAGAAAGTAAATTAAAATAAACTGATCGTCTTCTAGCAGTGTCTTTTTTTCATTTCAAATTTCCATATAAAAACCATAAAATATTAAAATACTTTCAAAGTAATGTAATTACTATAACATACCTTATTCCAATCAATCCGATTTTTGCTTTGGGGAACTTTACATACATTTTTCCCTGTTATTACCACAGATAGAATAGATAAATTCAATAAAAATATTGCTCCCTTCATCTTGAAGTCAGCGGAATGAATGAGATTAAGTGCTGACACAAATGAAAACACCTGACAACTTCAAATGTTTCGGTTCGTGAACGAACATGGCACGAACGGAAATAATACGCACGGCTTGGGATGTTGCTTCAACATTTCTGCATTTTTAGAAAATATGGATCGGGAGATGAATGGGCTTTGTGATCCTTGTCTCCGATATTTAAGTCTAACGAACATGGCACGAACGGAAATAATACGCACGGCTTGGGATGTTGCTTCAACATTTCTGCATTTTTAGAAAATATGGATCGGGAGATGAATGGGCTTTGTGATCCTTGTCTCCGATATTTAAGTCTTCAAGAAGTATCTATTATATTCTGTGACTATTTGATTAAACCACTAGACTTAGAAGGAAAGTCAGTTCAGCATCATTTAAGCGCTTTTTATCATTATATTTCACCATGTAATGCCCCAATAACAATGAAAAAATATTGTTAACATTGCCGTATCGCGACAGTCGTAAGAGTATAACCAACTTGAGCTAATATGAATGTCTTGCAATAAACGAAAATGTGAAATTTCATTTTGCTATAAAATTATGTTTTGCTTTTTATAATACGTTAAGTGAAGTAAATTATCGCTCTGTCTATTCGCTCTCAGTAAAATATTTACTTTGCTGTGAACCCCCTTTATTGCAATGTACTTAAATACCAATTAATTTTTTTTTAAACTCTTTTCAAACCCTTGAGACGAACCCAGGTACTAATCAACGACTCAATATAAATGCAATTTAGTATTTAATCTAATTATTTGGATAAATTAAAATGATAATTCTTTTAACTATGATCTTATTGTCACTTGCAAAATCTCAAATGCCTCTCTATTCGTACTAATTCCAACGCATCTGCTTACATACAGCTATCATTGGGATTAGCTGATTTTTTCATATCCGAGTAGTCGTGTCGAACCAATTGAACCGCCCTCCCTCAAATTACTTTCTTTCAATTAATAACAGAATCTTTGTATATTTCTTAGCTTTCAAATGGCTCCATTACATTTGAATCCACGACATTTGCACTTGCATACTATTGCACCTATGGGAATTTTTTTAAGGATATTTGAACCCATACTAACTCTAACCCATGGATCTTAGCACCCTCATATAAATTGAACCCGCGGATATACTGGTGCAAATGTATGGGTTCGAATGTACGTGGGTTCAAATGTACGGGTCACCTTTCAAGTACTCACAGACATAAAACTTGTAGAATTGAAAATATGAAAAAAATGACGCGCTACCGTGATTACGAACACTCCAAGAATCATGGATCATGCTTTAATTTGACGCAAAAGTGGTCGTGTTTAAGTTTACCGCAGACAAATCTTTTCCACTAAAGTTACACTTTAATTACTCATTGTATTTGTAGATGTGTTAACAACTAATTCATTTCAGCATTTTAACCCATTTTTCTTAAATGTGTGATAATTATGATAGAAATACATTCGGTTATTATCGATTGTTTGAGCAAAAATTTATTTCATCTCAAAAGTATTCTAAGATATTAGGAGAAAGTAAAAATCAACCACGAAGGGTTAAATCATACCTCAGAAAGAATACCTAAGTCTATAATATGCACTATTTTTTACGGCGATGAACGAGATCCGTCAAAGATTTTAGGCTAGATCGAAATGTTAACATGAAAACATGTTTCTGACTGGGCCCGAACCACTTTATGGGGACCGTTTGCAAACGCGATGACCACTACACTACGGAAAGACATCAGGGTCGGTTTCAAGCCGATTCGACGAACCACGGATGTATGCGTTTCCCATATGTAGAAGTCATCACGTTCGCCTAACACGCGAAAGATTATTGTTAAGTCTCCCAAGAGTATTGTTCATTATAATAAGACCCACCGGCGTATGCGTTTCTATAGTGTAGTAGTCATCACGTTCGCATTACGCGCAAACGGTCCGCACCGTTTTAAAATTAGTATTTATCTAGTTAGTGTTAGGAATGATTTGAAAATTGGAATTTTTTCGTTCTTTTCAATCTTCTTTTTTAATTTTGAGCGGTAGCGAGGGTATTTATTTTTTGCCCTTGCTCTGGGCAAGATCCGAAATTTTAAAACTAACGATTTCATGGCATTTAAAGTAAGATACAAAGCGGTAAGGGCGTCGTTTTCAACACTATTTTGCTCTATTGAAGAGCTATTCACTGATAATTGGCCGTTTTGGGGCTTACTATCAATTCATACTCCAAATTAATAATTCGATTTGGCAAAATGCGCGATTGTATAGCCTGGAGAACTCGGCGGTGAAGTCAGTCTATAAAGGGGATTTTGACGTAACATGAGATATCAGTGGCTACGCCCTTACAGATGTAAATAAAGAAGTCGATTATTACGGAAACATCGATTCTTATCGATACTTGGAAGTATAGGATTGGGATTTCAAATTTGAGGATAAAAAATGGAAAAAGTTCACACATTTATTTATTGTAGAAAGTAAGCTTAAACAACAGACATGCTATAAAAAGGATGTTTTGTACAAAGCTTCCACCAACGCTTCAAATGGGAAAATAATAATTATCCAATTAAGCATGCTGCATATTGCGCCGAACATGACAATCTTTATTCATTCCGAGCCAAGTGGATATTTATTATTTTTTTATTTAAAACATGGCAGGATTGTTTCTATCAAATCTTACATTTTGTGTATTAGTGGCGGAGGCTTTGTACAAAAGATCCAATGAGAGTTCTCATAAGATTTGAAAGCACGATCATGAATATTTTGCTAGCTCCGTAAAGTGAGATCTTTTGAACTACGTGAGAAGTGAAACGAAAAAATAGCTTACATACGTTGGTAGAGTAAAATATCAGTCTTCGACATATAAATGCAAAATGTATATTGTATTCCAGGTGGAGAAATTGTTTGCAATCGGTGCCTTTTTATTAATAAAATTGCATTCTTACTAATCCCGGGGATCGGTGAAGAATTATTAATCTGACGGGCACAGCAACAGAGCAACCAGCCGACCCTGACTAAAATTTAAGTTGTTAACATGTCCTGACTTCTTTTTATTAATAAAATTGCATTCTTAATAATTCCGGGGATCGGTGAACAATCAGCCACAAGGCAAACATACAATTCAAGTTTTATATGTCCTGCCTTCTTCAGTTCACTTATTTTTATACCCTGGTGACTCTCCTCTGTCTGGCTTCTGCCACTGACCCCGACTGGATGCCGTCCTTGCAGGTTATAATTACCTGTGGTATCCGACTTCCTTCTTGTGTGTTGCCGGCGCTCTGTCTGATTTGTGCAGTTGACCCCGTCCTGCAAACTTCAGTTCAGTAACTGGCTTCTTGATTTCTTTATAGTGTTTTTGGGTACTCACTCTGCTTTCTGCCGCTGACCCGAACCTTCCCATTCTGCCTAGTTCACAACTAACTTCCTTCCCGTGTCATGAGGCACTCTGTCCTTCACACCCACTCAGCGCCGGATTAACCATTAAACAATATAAGCACGTGCTTATGGCACCAAGCAAAAAGGGGCACCACAGAAATTTTAGAGCAGAAATTTATATAGTTTATCGGTGTTTATTAAAATATTACGAGTTCACCAGACGACTCAAACTTCAAAATGTTCGCTTATTTTTCGTCTTCAAGTATCATTAACCTTCTTCATTAAAAATAAACACTGAAACTTATTTATTGGACACGAAAATGGGCCTATGAGTCGTTTTCTTAAACTGTTGTTTTTTCCTCCTAGTATTCTCCTTGTTGCTGCATTTTTGTTTTAAAAAAAATTCTTTTCTCTTCAACAATTGGACCAAAGAACTATTTGCACTATGTGGCGGTTCCAACGTCGCATTTCAACGATCTAGTGGTCAGCGAAGTCGAGAGTTTTTTATAAGGTAGACCAGGGTGGTCCAAACCATGTGATGCTGACACATTCCGTGCTGTTCACAGAACAATTTTAGCGTATATTTGTATCTAATAGCAGAATGCTTTTGAGTTTTTTTAGCTATTGCAACTGGGGTTGAGATCCCTAGATTCAAACCCTTTTTTTTTCTAACGCTTTGTGCCTTTATTTTAGAAAAAACACTCCTCTGTTTTCAAGCGTGGGCCATGTGACAGTAGTGACGAAACGCAGAGTCGACTTAACGCCGCGCAATCCAGTTTTTTTAGCTAGGTCCCGAAATACCAACTTAGACGGACTCGGTTGTTATTTGACGATGACACTAAGCTTGCTCACGCTGCAAGTTTTTAAATTACTCAAATATAACAATTCCTAATAAAATGACTGACATAAGGAAAATACGGCGGAAACGTATTTTCTTGCCCATCACACAGTGTCTGGTTTGATTTCAAGTAATATCTGTCACGGAAGAATATAATTTGAAGCGACATTAAACGCGAGATGCGGAAAATACAACGAAAATTCTCGGGAATTAATTTTAAAATAACTGAGGGCTATATATATCTTGTTTGAAAACACGCCATCTGTGCAACAAAATAATAGTCTGATTAGAACGGTAAACTCTCGTTGTTTATTAAATTGAAAGTAAGTAAACTCGCGATATTTCGATCACTTTTGGGTTTTCTCCGACATGCGGCCCGCGAGACCTCAAAAGTTTTTGCGATCTTCCAACCTATAGCAACCTTGAACCGCCCTGAGGTAAACTACTAGGTACCGGTAAAATTTTAAACTACAGTTGTGACTTGTATCCCTTGGTATTTCTATTCACGTTGAGACTGGAGACATGAATCTTTATGGTCACTCTCCCTCAGGATTAGAACTCAACCGATATATCGGCCCGTTACTGAGTGTTTGCCGAGATATCATATCGGCAGTAACGGCCGATATTTATATCGGCTATATATAACAGTTAAAAAACCTAAAAATGTTCGTAAAAGTCGTTTTATTTACTGTTGGTTGTGATTATTTTTAATGGATAATAACTTATGTGGTTTATTGTTTTTTTTTACATTTAAATTACACATAAGGGGGCACTAAAGTCTTCAGTGCTTGGGGGACCAAAGGGGCATATTCCGCCCCTGCACCCACTGTAAGTTTTTCCTGACTGCCTTCCTGTGTTTTGGCCACTATGTTTGACCCTGGTCTGCTCTACATGGTTTACAGCTTCCTTCGTGTCTTTTGGCAACTATGTCTGCGTTCTGCCACTGACCCTGTCTCTTGTTCACCACAGTACCTGGACTCTAACTTCCTTCCTGTGTCATGGCCATTCTGCCTGGTTTCGGCCACTAACCATAACCCTACCACACTAACACCTACCTGGATTTGAACCCATAGACTTAAGCTCAACGGCACCTAGTCGCTAACCCTGCGCTACGGCTGCTGACGAGGATACCACCTTCAAAATATTACTTTTCATCGAGGCTAATTCGGTAATTAACATGCTGCGTTCGTTCGCGCCGTAGCCTGTATGATGCACATGGAATACATACGATCAAGAGTGCAAAACCTTTCAACATCAAAATATATATATATGTTTATTGTATATTATTACTAAAAGTTTGTAAGGAAGGGATAGAATTTACATATTCATCCCGCGGGGTGATGAAAGCCGAAATGACGGCGTAATCAAACCTGAGTACCACGCCCTCTTGCCAGGTTACCAATCTGTGTCGGTTATGAGATTAGAAAATCGGTTATGCTGTCAAGTTAGTCTAGTTATCAAACATGGAATCATTTATTAATGCAACCCAGTGATTTTGAATTTTTTTTATTGGTAAAGCATAAACCCAATGGAACATTTAAGAAGCTCGGGGAATCCGATAGTGCGATTGTTTAGTTCTTTGAAGGGTAGGCTAAATATAGCAAATCTAATACTGGAGACACAAAATGATTTTTATCCAAGTGTTGCAAGTTTTATAATGTCAATAAACCCACCCGTGTCGGTTATGAGATTAGAAAATCGGTTATGCTGTCTAGTTAGTCTAGTTATCAAACATGGAATCATTTATTAATGCAACCCAGTGATTTTGAATTTTTTTTATTGGTAAAGCATAAAGCTAATAGAACATTTAAGAAGCTCGGGGAATCCGATAGTGCGATTGTTCAGCTGTTTGAATGGTAGGCTAAATATAGCAAATGATTTTTATCAAAGTGTTGCAAGTTTTATAATAGTGGCAAATCTAATAGGATTACGAGTTGGGTTGCGCGAGACTAACTTACTATATATCCAACATGTTGTTGACTAGGTCGAGTATATCATGTATTTTTATAGTCTTTCCAACAGTTCATGTTATGGTTCACAAGCATCATCCAACTGAGCCAAGTTTGGCCGATTCTTCCAGCCAATAAAAGCTAGACTAGCCCTACTCGTGGCCACAGTTATGAAGTTGAGCCCTAGTTTTGTGAAGCTGATGACTTTATGTAAATGTTTAATCTATGGCTGCAAAAATGATATACCATGAGATTTTTTTGCCGGTAGTGGGAAAGCCTACAAGAAAGACATCTGTTTCATATGGCGTTCGCTTAGGGCTAAATTGGTCGCCATCGTATGTCAATCACGCCATCGTAAAGTTGTCGCCCAACTAACGACCGTTGAATATCGCGTCACCGTCGGCCTAAAGCTGACTAACTTTTTGCGGGTGGTGGCATTTTCGTTAACCGTCGGCCTACCTTTTTGATTGTCAAGTTCAATATCAAGTTTACAGCTTTTGGTTTTGCTGTAGGCAAACATGTAGGCCTGAAGAATAATGGCAAAAGGTCAACTTTTCTTTCTCCACCTCTGCCTGGTTTTACTTTAAAATGCGGAAAAAAGTACTCATGCTTGCTAAACTCGATTCAGCAGATAAATAATAATAAATAGAGCAGATAAATAAAAATAAAGTACTTCATTGTTACGTAACATTAAAGGCAAACACTACGCAATGAAAAGTAATCGACATAGAAAGGTAAAATGAATTTGTTGATTCATATACCCAGCATTTAAATTAAAAAAAATATATATATCCAATCATATTTTAGGTATGTTTAACACAATTCTGTTAGTTTTCGCGGCTCATTTGGCAACTCGCTTTATTACATCGTTTTTCTTTATCAATTTATTTTTGGTGTTCCGCGAGGCGACTAAAAAGTGCAAGTGTTCCGTGTCGAAGTTGGGAAAAAGTTTGGGAAACGCTGGCTTAGGATAGGGAGGAGGTCGCCAGCAATCCTCTGGTACTAAATTATCCCTTACGGTATTTGAACCTGCGAATCTAAGCGGGGTAAGAAATCAAGCGTATTACTAAGGCTTAGAACGATGCGCCACTCAACGCGAACGTACTCAGCTGCAGTGCATTGGCTGACATAGATACTAAATACATTAAAATACGTGTATACCCTTACCCTGGATCAGGGGTGGGCAACTTCTCTAGTCGGCGGGCCAGATGTGAGAAAATGAAGTCCTCGGTAGGACGGCTTATTACAAAAGGTACTTCGGTATCCAATCTTTGTTAAATGCTCGACACCCTCTGTCAACTTTACTTATCTTGGGATATTCCATGGTTCACAAAGTGCTTCATACGGACATAGGGTCTCCGCGATCTATTCGTTTACGCAAAATGGCATTAATAACATTTAAGAAGCAGCAAATACATCCGAGTTATTAAATATAGTAATTTCAATTCACCTATTAATATTGATTGGTGAGTAACAATTTGTTTTTGTTACGTTCTTACTGTTGGGCTACGTCAATAGCACCTCTTCACGAGCTCCATAACACCAAATATTTGAATGGTCTCGAATTGATGATCTATATATTATCAGTTGTTGTCGTCGGTATGCTCTTGTATTGAGCAGTCAATTATTTACTTCACATAGAACCGTGATTAATACTGTTGCTGATGTTATGTCTCCGCCGTTTGGTTTGGCGAAGAAATTACTATACAGTAGTCATCGAAACAACGTCACATTATACCACCCTTTAAACGACATCGCCGGCACGTTAATGTACGAAAACTTAAAATTATTCTTGGCTGCGCAAATCAATGAGCTAAGATTTGTACGCCAGAGAATGCATTAATATAACACGCCGTTATTCTTTCATTGAGTTGTGGGAGAGTTACATTTTTGATGGCATTCACGTGCGCGTTTACTCTACAAATATAAACAGACAAATATAATGGAATTGCTGGATTCTTTGTACTAAGCTCCCGTCACTGATGCAAAAATGTGTGATCTGAGATAAACACCCCTGTCACGTTTTAGGATAAAAAATAAGTAATTATGCTGTTAGGATTTTGGGTTGGGAACGATTTGAAAATTTGAATTTCCGGCTGAATCTGCATCCCTCACCTTAACTGAATATTTACTATTTCTATTTAATTCGAGCGTTGGCGGGGTGTTGTTTTGGGGTGGGGCTTGGTACAAAAGATCCTGAGAATACTACTGTGAACTAGGTTTATACGATATTTGAAGCAAATCCCAACCGTCATTTGCATTCTGCATCTTTGAAATCACGCTTCAGAAGCGTGATCGGCTCGTAACGTCAACCTGGAGTAATTAAAGTAATCAGTTAAAACATTTGATTGCAATCAATCAGTTAGCTTTTTTCGTCAAATATTTTTGCGCGGGAAGCCACAAGCGACATCGCTTTTAGTCAGTCACAAATGTTCGTGGTAAGATGAGGTTTGATTTTGTGTAGGATGTATGGATAGGTTGACTGTGGGTTATGACAGTGAGTTCGAAACAATATTCAGGTGAGCTTAATGTTCTTTATACCTATTGTTTTCATTGCTATTATATTGCTTTCATTTTACTATTGTATAAGTGGATAATTAGAGGTTTTCGGGCCTATACGAATTGGACTTATTAACCAAATACAGAAGTCTAGATTGATGGATGATTCTCTTTTGTATCGAACTCACTAACAGCGGGTTCCATCGTTTCCTCACAAATAGGCCAAACTTAAATGCTATATGGCAATACATAAACTTATCATATTAGGAAAGTTAAACGTAATGCACCGATCTACGTAACTACGTAAGCTGCATTCAACATGGTACGCGTTACATGAATGTAATGCATAACTTTCAAAACTTTTGCAAATGTAGTGCAAAATCCATGGTTAAATAGAGATTCGCGTAGCCTTTTTACTTTGATATATTATTGTGTATAGATTGGATCTTTGTACTAAGACCCTACCAACGTTCAAAATAGGAGAATTAGTAAGTTAGGAATGCAGATTGCCTGGAATTCAAATTTTTAATCATTTCTAACGTGGCGGAAGCTTTGTGCAAAAGATCCGATAGATTCAGACCCATTGTCCATTGAATATGCTAGCTACAGTTCTGCAATAGTTTATTTATCAATATCTCAATTTTTTTCAGGTGCAGAAAATTAAAGGTTAAAGATTCAAAGACACAAAGTAACGAACGGGAAATATTACAAGTAAATATTATTTAAACATTTTATTTGACTTTCGACGCCTATTGATTCCTGTATACCACTGTTTTTGTTTAAAATGCTAAACAATTCGATGCGAGCGCACCGCGTCTCGGGTCTTGCGATCAGAGTCAGCATTGTTTGATCGTGTGTTTTTTTCTCGAAATTGTAAGATTCAGATTTTGCACAAGTTTTAATAATTGTAGAAGTCCAAAAAAGTACTATAAATATATACCTTGTATCAAATTGGTGTACTCTTTGCGACCCCTAAAATTCGTTGCGCCTTCTGCTGGATAGCGATCCCCAGTTTGCGATCCCAACCGTGAACAATGTGATAATGCTACAAGTTACTGATCAGAGGTAATTAGTCATATACTCCATGAAACAGTTATAAAACTACACTGGGTTTTATTGTTATTTTAGTATTTGCAATTTGTGCAGTTTGAAAATTACACCTGATATGTTATAAAGTATATATTTGAAATTTAATAGCAATCGCTGAAGAAATTTTATTCGTCTAAATTTCTAAGTTTTGGATTTTATAAAATTAAATGTCGAAATTTACCCGTTACGTATTTTATTAAAACTTACGTATATTTTGAAGAAAAATTCAGAAAAGAGTCTTACTTTAAGAATACAAAATGAGGTACAATATGTTACACTAACATATCATTTTAACTAACTATCATTTTAACATAAGCATAGCTTTGCAGTGTCTCTGTCAAATAGCATTTGTGTAAATAAACCACCTGAAAATGCCATAGTTGCTCAACGAAATTTAGTTTAATTCAAATTTAGAATTGGCTTACACAAAATCACGACATATTATTGATTTTCAGCGTTTTAAAACAGGACAATTTATCATTGCACCAAAAGAAATTCGCCAAGTTCGAGGTTTTCATCACTGAGTGAGATGGAGGCCTATCACGTCTGAAGAGCAAGTATGTGACCAAATCATTTGAAATCTTCCAATTTACATGTCTATAAATAAATGATATATTGTATTTTTTTTCGGGAAATCACAGACAAATAATTACTTTTAATATATTGAGTATAAGCTTAGTTTTGTTTCGTCTGTCAAATGAAATTTTCTATAAATTACAACCTCAAAATTTCATAATAACATGATTCGCACAACTACCGTTTTATTCTGGCTATTGAGTCAGCCCAGTGAATAAGGCGGGGGTCATTTTTTAGAAATAAAATTAGGCTTTTTCGTTCCCACCAATAGTCGAGACACAATATTGCATTGCATTATATATGTAGTATATTATATGTGTAGTATATAGTATAATGGCCGTTTCTGTCACACAATATTCAGTCCATGACAACGACAAGAATTTAAAATGTCTTTCTATTTTAATTTAATTGTGTTCATGGTAACTCGCGGTTGCGTCGACTTACGACAAGATGAAAGCATTACTCTTTTAAAATGCCACGACAATCGGCGAACATAATAATGTGCGAATATATTGCCCGATTATATTTAGTTTCGATACATATTTTTTGCGATCTTGCGAATTTGTTATCGCCGTTAGGAAAATCCTACTTTCTGCTATAAAGTTCCAGAAAGTACAACTTGATTTAGTACTTTAAAGTTTATTAGTAAATCAAAAATACATATTCATCGTATTGCTTTACTATTAAGTTAATTGTGATGATTTTAATCTGCAATTGTGTTGACGAAATAAAAGCAATACTACTCAGAAAATATCAAAGTGGTTAAGTGTCCGATTATATTTTGTTTTGATTCGTATTTTTGTGAATTCGTCAAATCTGAGCTGTTCGTACAACACCTACGGCGCTCCAGTACTGTACGTACCAATGTAGGGCAAAAAATCCTAAGAAAAAATGCCCTGGTACGTACGTATACTACGGTAGCACCCGAAATTTTGCGATTTGTAATGTCTAAAAAAGCGTTATTATTCGGTCTAGGCGATCATAAAACAAAACTTATGGTGCTATCCGTTTTATTTTTAGTATTTTGTATTGCCGCTTTTCCATTTAGAAAATTTGGGTTGCCACCATTGACACCTACCAGAAATAAAAATTATTTTTCGTTGTTCGAACTCGCGAACTCTATCGAAGCGTGTGTTTTCGTCGGAAATCCGTAAGTGAGTTGTGAAACCCAATCGTTTGATTAAGCGACGCGTCACCTGTTACCAAATTTTCGAATAGTAAATTGCTATTCTAATAGTTGAATATTGAAGTATATGCCTAGTCCTACTCATTAACCATGTTTTATGTAAATTCTAACGTAAATCGTAACTTGGCTGATAGTTGGGTTTCACAAGTTTCATTTGCAGCCCGCAGTTAATTTCTGGTTCGTTGCGGACTTATTCAAACGCTCCGCGGACTCATTTGAGACCGCGGACTCTGGTTGGGAAACACTATTCTAAAGTATAAGCATAGCTTCTCTGTTCTCCTGTCAAATTACATTTTCTGTAACTTATAAACTTAAAACCTAATAATGACAGAGTTCGAACAACTATATATAATTCAAATCAATATTATTCAAAATTCACCTACATTTTATTATTTCATATAAATTTCAGCTTTCTGAAACACTTCTTGAAAGCGGGAAAGACAATTTATCATTATATCTAAAGACATGCTGGGGGCATTTGTCCGATTATGCATCACTGAGAGAGGTGGCTGCCTCGAGTCTAAAGAGCAAGTATGTTATCATAATCTTTTGGGTGCTCCCGAAGTATGCGAACCAAGATGGCGGACATCGGAACGTAACATGGGTAACAGGTTAGGGTTAGGCGATAATTTTTTTCCAATTTTCCTTATTTTAGTCCTATTATCAGTTCGAAGACTAGCCAAGAGCCTCCCGTAGTATTCATACCTAAAATTATGGTCTAACCCTAACCTAGTACACATATTACATTCCGATGTCCGCCATCTTGGTTCGCATACTTCGGGAGCCCCATCTTTTGAATTTTCCTAATTTACATTCATCACCATTATTCACAGATCCCCACAATAAATTTTGAAATTGTTATCTATTACTATTCCTAAGTAAGTTAAAATTACTTTACTTAATTTAAATGGTAAACATTTTTGTTAGGCTTAATACCAGACATAAATAAATCTAAATTTCATAGATAAATTGAATATATTAAGGCTGTAAACTCAACAAACATAATATCAAATTTTGAGGTTGAACACCCTTTTGGCGTTTTTGGAATACTGAAAAAGTTCTAATAACGTACGCGATGGCATTTTGGTAGTGTCGCCGATAATTTTCGTCAGCGTGACGTGTTTTTATTTAACAACTTATGTGCTTATTCTCTCTGAATCACGAGTTTTCCTTGGCATATGCATGTATTGTTCCACGAGGCCGACGATAACTTTTTTTTTCTTGTGCGGAATTATGAGTTCAGTGTACGAAACAAGTTAGAATACTATATTATAAAAATCGGTGAAGAGAAGCTAAGAATAAATGATAAAAAGGTGAATCCGCAAACCAATTTCTTGATTGAAAAGCGGCATCATAAAATATTGAAACTAAAATCTAAAACGAAAGGTTTCACCATAA